TGATATTTACATAAGACATTCTGGTTAAAATTAAAATTAGAACTCATCAAGGAAWTAAATTGTTTGGATGCATCGAACCCAAATTTCAACCCATGATTACTTAACTTCTACAATCTAGGAATTTTCTGGCTTCACTCTGAAAATAATTTGATCTCCCAACTAAAATTTTAAAGATATATTTTGTGAGAAAAAAATTCAAACAAATGAAGCACAAATGTCAAATAAGTGAAAAATTCAACTCACTACTGAAAAAATGCGAATAAGAATAGACCATAAATATCCTTTATCAAATTGGCAAAGAATTTTTTTTCCAGATTATTATGCTCAGGATGAAGAAAAGTATAACCTTTCCTGGAGAGGAATTTATTTGGCAATATTTACTATAATGCTTGAAAAGAGAGAATGGGCACTTCCAGTGGTTATTGGTAGGAATGAAAACTAGTGTTACCTCTCTGGAGAGCAATCTGGCAATATACCCATGTATAACCTTTGACGGAGGACTTCCACTTCTAAAACTAATCCTAGAGAACTAATTGGGCAAATATACAAGTTGACTAATTGGGCAAATATACAAGTTGCAGTATTATTTATAGCTGGAAAAAAAAGGAAACTATGTGACAGTCCAATGAGAGATTTAGTAAACAAGTAACTATGTTCTTACAAATTAAAACATGAAGTTGTGAAGAAGTATGTGTAGGTATACTGAGGYGCAAAGATATACAAGATACAAAGTAGTAGAAAAAAGGACAAGTTGGAAAATATCACATATGGTAAAATCACATGTATACATGTACAACTGCAAAAAAACAGTCATCAAAAAGTTAACAGCAATTAGTTCTAAGGGGTGTGACTTACAGTGAGTTKTCTATTCTTATCATGAATTTCTCTTTGGTTTGAATTTTTCCATGAGTATATACCATTTTTTATAGCAATCAAAAAGCTCTTTTCAAAAGGTAGAGAGAAAAATGGGAAATGGAAAAGAATTGGACATTCATAACCTGTAGTTTGCTTCCTGGAATTTATCCTAAGGTCACAATAACATGTGAACTGGAACGATCATTGTGGCAATATTCAGAATATTGAAAGTCAATAAACATTAAGATTCAATTTAAATAAATGCAATTTAATTGGGTAATATGAACATAGAAATACATTAACTTGGAAATATTTCACAATATATCAGTAAGTGAAATAAAAGATAACTAAATAGACCTTAGTTTTGCACACACTTTGTATCTTTCATATACAAATATATAAAGAAAAGTCCAAAAGGATATATGTCAAAATATATACAGCAGTAACTAGTAATTCTTATTTTCCTTTTCTACCAAATGTTTGTATAAGAAACAAGTACTATTTATATAATTTTTTGAAGTTTTAAAAACATTCCTTGTAGATTTTTCAGGTGTTAAAATACTGGGGAAATTGTTCAAATGATATTAATCTATGAAAAACAATAGGATAAAAATCTCAACCCTTTTATCCAGCATTCAACTCTGTCCCAAAAGACCCCATGAAGCCCTTTGCACGGCACATGCATCATACTATAAAGATCTGAAGGCAACAGAAGTACAAACGGCTCAGGAAACCCAAGGTACCTATTCTGATTTTGTGTCCTGAGATGTACGGAGTTATAAAACATACTGGCTCAGATTACAGGCTGAGTGTGACAAGTCCGTCTGGTACAACCTAACAAAGGAATTTACACAGAATGAGAAATTTACACATTTCATTTCCCAGAGTGGAATGAATTACAGAAGCAGAGAACTCAGTAGGGGTTAAGCTCTTTCCTGCCACTCTGCTATATGCTTCTGAATTGTGCATTATGGGCATGTCTTGCATGATTTGCTTATTACTATGTTACACTAAAATAAACTTCTTTTTTTTTTTTTTAAGGCAAATAGGAAGAGAAGTGAGAAAGAGTGTATTTTAACCGGATCAAACTTATATTTTTTCAGGTGAACTGGGAGATGCCAGACCACCCTCCCTGCCTATCTCTGCCCCCCACCCCTCCCCAGAACATTATGGCTGATAACAATAGTTTTCTCTCCCGGGTAGTGTAGATGACACATTTTTCCTGTAGCTTGTCTTCCTGTAATGTGCAGGAATTCCTGCACTTTCTGGGTGCCCTTCCTGTTAACTTACATTTCAGATTTCCTCAAAGGGCATACTAGTGCTTTAATATTTGAAAAATGTCAGTTCAACCCCAGACAGCTAATACAAACAAGCTGAGAAGTGTACCACCTAAAGTYACAACTGTGGAAAACAAAATTTCTTTTTAAGAAATTCTTTCTCGGAATCTCACTGTTGGTAAGGCTGCAAAGAAGTAACCCAGTCCTTCCAGCTCCCAGGCAGTCTATAATTCTTTGCCTCTGCTTTGCCTTAAATTAGAGGTCTGTAAAACCGAATTACAGTGATCTAGAAAGTTCGTAGAGGTCCCTGAATTGAACATGTTGTTAAATTCTTCAATACTATGAGACTGTATCCACCTTTCACTTTTCCTCCCATTTCATTTGGCTAGAGTATTAAAAAGAAGTTTGGAACTGCAAAAAAAAAAAAAAAAAAAAAAAAGTTTTGGCCATTTGAGGATAGCATAGCTGAATTAGGCCAATTCACATTTAAAGTCCAGGCTAAAGCTCTTTTGCCATTTCTCTAAAAGGATCACCCACTTCTTTCTACCAATAATTTTCCTTTTGGACAGGAACCTTATGTTCATACCAGATGTGCTTTCCAAACAGGATCCAATTAAGAAGATTCAATGGGCAAATGAAAATTGATTTGAAGGACCTCTAGTAGCTGATTCCCCCACCATGTATAGATTACCTATAGATTATGTATCCAATATAGACACACCTACAATGGAAGAGAATCCCCTTAGCTTCCAAACTCAAAAACTTGCTCTTCTAAGAGGGAGCTCTACCTTAAATAAGCCCAAATATATGCACTCGCACGTGAAGACACACACACACATCCTAATTTAGCTTAAACCCTAAGGTCCAAAGATCACAGTACACACCACATTCCTCATGAAACTTCCAAACTAACCCCCCAGTGGAAGGGCCACTTTGTCTCTAAACTCCAATAATGCCATTTCTCTTCGATGCCGCCTACTACCTTGTGTTATAATGATTCCCTCACATACTTGCTCTCAGCAACCACATGGGAAGTTTCTTGAAGGAAAGAACTTCATTTTAAATATGCTTATGTGCCCCAAATCCTGTGCACACACAAGTGCATACAAATGTACATATGCATGTACATATATGCATGCACATAGATAGATAGATAGATAGATAGATAGATAGATAGATAGATAGATAAACATGTCTATCACAATATATATTTATACATATGCTAAACTAAACTGAATAAATAAGTGAATGTTCACCAAATACAAAGTAGCTAGATGCCACTTCATTCATACACCAAAGCATGAACTGCCTCTTCTTTTTTTCCACATTTCTTATTGGTGCATTATAATTGTATATATTGATGGGATTTGTTGTTACATATTTGAATATGCACACAATATAAGAATATAATTTGGCCAATATCACTTCCCAGCATATGAACTGCCCCTTATAAATTGATACTTCTCTGCTCGTTAGGAGATGGGGGGGTCCCTATTTAAGGCATACCTGCACCTTAAAATATCAATTCCTAATTTCTTCATCAACCTTAGCTTTCCATGTAGTCATTCTCCCCTAATACTCAAAGAAAAGCAGAGTCCTACTTTGAACTCTGGAGAATATTTTTCCTCTTTTGGGCTCAGATACATGACTTTCATCAGGTAGAATTAAAAAGTGGTAACACAACTCCAAAAAAAAAAAAAAAAAAGCAAAAATCTTATCTAATACTTTAATTTCACTAGCTCTTACTCAAACAGTGCCCCAGGTAACCTAACTCAGAGGTCCCTGACTCACCTTTTCATTCCATACATTCTCCCATAGCATATGCTTTTCCTATTTAAAAAAGGAATTGTTCTGAAACAAGTGGCCCAGAATCCTACAGGTAACTGACAGCACCCCCCTCGGCTCTCTGGTGTTGTCAGGAATTGTTTTGAATTCCCTCCCCAGAATGATATTAAGCCTGCAAAATACAACWGTGGAAAAAATAAATTTAAAAGAAAACAACCATAGACCCTGAACTTCTGCCCTATTATAGCTGACTAAATATTTGCAATTACACACTTAAAATATTTCATTATGGTTGTCAATGAAACCATGCAGTTCCCTCATAAGTTGCTGTAATGGTTAAAAGTACAATTTGCCCCCCAATATCTCCCCCCAGGATGCAAAGCATCTCTCAAATGGACAAACATATCTCGGTCCTCACTGCAGCTTCTGAATACTGCGAGCCAATAAGCAATTGGTGTAAAGTGCAAAATCTCGGAAGACCGAGACTTCTTGTCTGCTTTTTTGTAATACGCTGTTATCTATAGTTCACCTTTACTTCCTTTAAAAATGAAAAGTTGCCTAATGTTCAAAGCGAAATCAATGGAAATTTAACTAAATTTTGGCACAGAGACGGTTCATTTCCAAAAGAATATAAGATTTCATTAATTTCCTAGTAGTTCAACTCAAGTTTTACCTTTCATCTTCACCTACAGACTTTTTAAAAAGTTTGTATTCCTGTTGCACACAAAATTACTTATAATATGTRTGCATAATAAAGAATTGTACAATTATATAAAGCATTGCACATTTAGACGCTACCAACCTGCTCTCTCTCTCCTGACTGTGCAAAAGGCAAAAAGAGCTCAGTAATCCTAGCAGAAGAATGCAAATAACGTCAATGCACAGCTGAACTGCAAGCCCTGCCTTACAGGAACTCTCTGTGTCTGCAAAAAAAAAAAGACACATACTAAACAGGAAATGCAACTGAGCTGTGGAAAACCTCAAACTTAAAAATGCAATCGCCGGGCGAAAAATGCATCCATGCATTCATAAATGCATGCACAACCCTTTGCATTTTTGCAAGTAATGCAAATAGCCTCTTACCTTTCGACTGAGACATTTTCCCCTTTCCTTTGATGGGGGAGGGGAGCACAAAAGACTTTGCCTTGCTTCTCTTCTGTAGCTAGTTTTGCAACAAAGATGCAAGCTGCAGGCGTGCAATCTTCATGCAAGTGGAGTTTCTCTTGACCGATGCAGCAGATGGACTTTCAGAGAATCAAGGTGGAAATGCACACCTTGCAAAACAGACTGGAAAGTGATTTTTCCCCCAGTTGCAACGTTAGGGAAGGCTGTGCTGCAGCTACATGATGGGCCAGGGCTGGCAGCTAAAAGCTCCAAACTTGGAACTGAGTATCTTAGTGCGCAGACGTCCTTCCTGCGAAGGGCGCGGAGGCTGCTGGGTAATGTAGTTCCCGTGTGTAGTCCACGGGGCTCTGATTTAAGGAAACGTGGTCGTCCCGGTCGCTGAGTGAGACGTATGGGCGCGAGAAAGATTGCACTCAGACAAGTTAGACGCCCACTCAGTAGTAAGAAACGGCAAGGCCAACAAGAAAGGACATTTTTTYCCCCTGAAATAACAGCTAAAGTACATGCTAAAGAACCTGAGGATAGCTAAAGGGCTTTGGCTCCTTTAGGTCTGTTTGGGTGTTCAACGTATTAATTTTGTAACCCAGCACCTGTTGGACTGTTCCTGCCTGTAGGCTTTCACCCTCACACGTCCATTTTTAAAAACGTTTTTCTCGMATGGAGGATTTGTTGGTAGTTTGGCCCTGCAGAGTATGCTAAGTTTTATTTAATAAGAAACGATTCTGGTCAGTTCCTTTCAAAGAACCTGAAATTCAATACGGAGTAGGACTGGGGTGGGGAGATTGGGGAGTTCTCATTTCTTACAGGGTTACAAAGCAAATTCTGCTTGTTATATGTCAAAGCCAATTTTATCCAAGTCAAGATATTTGGATGCTTTTTCTCACCTGAGGGRAACTGGGATGAAGAGGAAAGTCCCTGGCCTGGATGAGAATACAGGTGGTAGTCTTAAGTGAACAAAGTCAAATATCTTGTATATAGTCAATAAAATCAAGAAGTATTTGTTGAGTATGGAGTATTTGCCAGGTTATCTTTCTAGGGCCTCGGGCTGTCCATTTGCCCTGTACTGCTCATAGCAGGAGGGTGGGCAGCAGCCCAGTATCATTCTTGTCACCAGGAAGCCAGAGAGGCACAGAATTCCCTACAAGAAATGGAGAGGAGGAGAGAGGTCTTARTGGAAATGAGTTCAGACTTTCTGAGCATAGACCACACTCAGGAATGTTCTTTGAAGGCCAAGAGCAAAACAAATTGAGGGTTTCAGGCTGTTGAGGTGTAAGTAAAGCCCAGTGGTGGCAATGATTATCCCCATTCTATGGGCCAAGAGAATTGCCTTGCATGTAAGAACTGATGGGGTGGGCAGAATATTCTGGTGAGGACTCTACTGACCTTATAAGACTAGTGAGAGGATTGGACTTTATTCCTCAGGTATCTGAGGGGTGGGGACAAGGTTTTGAAAAGGGGTGTGACCTAATAAAAGCATTGTTTTAAAGAAAGTAAAACTGCCCTTAGGGATAAAGGTGGGTTGAAGTAGGAGAGGCTAGAGATAGGACAGGACAGGTCAGTCATGGAGGTCAAAAAAGCACTTTTTTTTTTTCCTTGAAAGAAGATTCAGCTAGATTTGATGGTTGCTAATAAAAGCTGTTGGAATTTTAAGAATTCTGGGAAGCCAGGGCCATCAGAGTAAAGGATGAAGCAGAGAGGGCCACCATTTGTCAGGTGCAAATCAGCAAATCAACCCTTACGTATGCAATAGGTAGTGGGGACTGATATTAATGACTTCAGTTGATCCCCTTTACTGATGTTATAGAGAGTTAATCAAGGCAGGCTTATCCCTCAAAGAATGGCACAGGTCCCGTGAGCACTGGTGTGAACAAGCTCAGAGCCTCCTCACTTCACCAGGAGATACATGTGTTGAGATTCATTTCAACACATCCAGTTCACTTTCCAGTTATTGAGAGAGCACCTGCTTCATACCAGGCCCTGGGATAGCTACTGACCTATGTAGACTATAGGGCCTGAACTACCACCCCAAACTGCTTTCAATTTGCATTTTGTGTGGTCAACTGCATTGCTCTTAAATTACCCAGACTCCCTTCTTTATGAAAGGGTTCGAATCACAACGCTGGTGAATTTGGGGACTGGTGTTTGGGCTCCCACTTACTCTGCATAGGCATGTATAGTTCACATCTGGCAAATAGTTTGTGTTCAGAAAGTCAGTCTGCAGTTCCTTTTTCCATAGAAGCAACAGTATGCTCAGGAGTTAATCCACCCATACAGATACGCAAGCATACGCAAAGTACCTTCATTTCATAAATTAGCTGAATGAAGTTTTTTTTTTTTTWAAAGAGCATGATGAATTTTATTTTCTTTCTGGAAAAAAAAAATATATGTGTCCTGGATTCTGAATAGGAAATGGGGATAAGAGGGATCTCAACCTCTCTGAGAAGTTTTAGCTTCTAGAAGAAAAAGTTCACCTTCCTGCCCCGGTGTGAAAAGGTTTCTACCTCCCACATTCCTGTGAGTGGAAAAGCCTGTGCCTCTGCTCAGCTCCCTGTTTTCCTGGTGGTAGCCACCCTAGGAGGAGAATCCCTCCCAAGGTAAAGCTAAGAAAGCAGAAGTGAATTCTGACAGGTCGGTTTTTTATATGCCCATGGAGTGTTTTATCTTGAAGTGACCTGTGTCTTTGTATGGTATCCCCGACCTTTGTGATTTGTCTGTACTTCCTTCTAAAAGGCAAATCTGATGTATTCTCCTCCCAGCTCCTAGTTATCTGCAGGATCAATTCCAAACTCCTTGGCCAGGTACAACAGGCTCCTTGCGAGACCTCATTCCTGTCTACTTTCCCGGTTCATTTCTTAACCTGTGTTGATCCTACAGCAGGAGAAGCAGGGTTTCTGGTTCTTGACTTCTAGACACACTGCTCCCGACTCTCAGTGTGAATTAGGTGCAGTCACTAATTCCATAACATCCTGTGCATTTCATCTCTCCTGAGACTCACTGGTCACAGGGCCAGTTGGAGTTCATGTTGTATTTGTCTCTGCAGGAGGCTGGACTGTTGGAGATCAGAGCTATTACCTATTATCTCGGCACTTCAGTGTTCAGCAAAGTATCCAGCATATCTTGTCCCCCAAAGCCTGTTGCAATAAGGAATGGAATAGATGGGGCAAGGACCAATACCTGTGGCTAACCTGGACTAACTGGATTCCAACAATGGAGTTAACACCTTAGGGGAGACTGGAGCACCTGGGGAAGGTCCTGTGCTGTCAGGTGAGAGGTGTGAGATTCCTGGAAGCAGGGCCTCAGGTTAGGTCCTGCTGCCTTCATAGAGCTATATCCTGGGTGGGGGAAGTGGTGACACAGGGGACCACATAGAATCCAAGGGTCAGGAACAGTACCTGCAACCTAAAATCTCAGTAGCAGTGGTTCTGTACTGGGGGCAGCTTTGCCTCCTGGCAACATGGGACAGCATCTGCAGCCATTCTGATAGCTAGTGGGTAGGGATCAGGAATGTAATAATCCTGCTAAAGTGCACAGGAAACCTCCCACAGCAGAGAACGATCTGGTCCAAATGTCATTTGTGTTGAGTTTGAGAAACTCTGTTGTATACCATGAAAAGTTACCGAACACTCTGATTTCAAATTAAAGATAATCATGTCTGATAAAAATGTAGTTAATTTGACATAATAAAACCCCTTGAATCTAGGATGTTTGGATTTTGGTCCTGCACACAGACGAAGTTAACAACTGTATCTGGGTCTCCTAAGGCAAATCATTTACGTTTTGTTGTTGTTGTTGTTTTGTTGGTTTTGTCTGTTTGTTCACTACTGGGGATTGAACCCATGGGTGCTTTACCACTGAGCAACATCCCAGTCCTATTTATTTATTTATTTATGTATTTTGATACAGGGTCTCGCTAAGTTGCTTAGGGTCTTCTAAATTGATGAGGCTGGTCTTGAACTTGCGATCCTCCTGCCTCAGCCTCTCAAATTGCCGGTTACAGATGTGCACCACCACACTCAGCACTTTACTTTCCTCTGCCTGAATCCCACTGGAAAATAAGGAAGGTCAGCCTGAGGCTCCTTGCAGTTCTACCATTCTATGGCTGTAAACCTACCTACCTCACATGTCCTATTAAAACCACTAATGATTTAAAAAGAAAGAACTAAAAAAAAATATATATATATATATATCAGCTAAACCTCTTTCTGTTCAGGAACTATAAGAGTCCCTCATCCTTTGCTTTGGCAAGACAACCAGTGACCATCATAATAACGTCAAGTAAGAGTCGAGACATGAAATGCTCATATTACTCTTTGCAATATTATCTTCCAGGTAGAAATACTAATCTGCATCTGACATTTATGAATGTTCCCCAACAGTGTCTTCTAGATGTCAGCAACAAGAAAGGGAAGGTGCTAAAGTTAAAGATCTAAGTTCAGGTGTGGAGTGTCTGCTTTTCTAGAATCTAGAACTATGACATATATACATATATATGTGTATATATACACACACAGTATATATATGGTGTATACATATGGTGCATATATATATATATATTTGTTATATACAATGAAGCATATTGGGGAGAAGGCATATGGAAGATTTATTTAGGGAATTAGATGCTGGGTTGAAGTTACACAATATCTTTATGTTCATTTTTTTGCTTTGGGTTTTTTTTTTTTTTTACTTCAATTATCACACGATTATTAGGAGAAATTTTGAAAATTCCAACATACATCAAGTGTAGTTTACATGTCCTCCCCAGTATGGCGCAGCTCCACCTGTTTAGCATTCTCTCTCCCCTCGACTACTGTGGGTAACTTTAAGTTGTCTCATCAAAACAGGATTCTCATCTAGCTGAAAACGGGAACTTCATGTCACCACTTCTGTATGTTAACTCCCACTATTGTTCTCTAGCTTTGCTTTTTTCTGGCCTCCACTTCAGTCTCTCTCTCTCTCTCTCTCTCTCTCTCTCTCTTTTTTTTTTTCCTGGTATTGGTATTGGGGATTTAAACCAGGGGTGCTTTACCATACTGAGCTACATGTTTTTGCATTTTTTTGTTTGGAGACAGGATCTTGCTAAGTTGCTTACAGTCCCCCTAGGTTGCAATCCTCCTGCCTCAGCCTCCCCAGCCACTGGGATTATAGGAGAATGCCACTGCACCTGGTACCACTTTAGTCTTCATTTTTAAAATTCTATCATTCATTCAGAATCCGTAGTCATCTCTTTCATAAAGATGCCCTGATCACATCCCTCTATCCTGTAAAACAGAATCC